CACGCGTGTCCAACAGTGAAAAGATTACATATATTAGACATTGTGGGTCACCATCTCAAAATATATTGATTGTATGTGATTTTAATGTGTTTCTTTTGTGATAGATAGAGGGAAAAGAAGTGCCCACGACAGTCGTATATTCAAATATTTCACGAGAACTCACAAATAAAACTTTTCGAAGCCACCTCCAGGTTTGCTTGCATATGAATAAATAAAATATTTATTACATCACAAAAATAATGAATAAACTTAAAACAGATAAATATTAATTGGTTGATGTTGGATATCCATTACAAAAAGGATATCTCAAGTCATTCTTTGATAAAAAATATCTTATTCTAAATTTCGAAAAAGCTAAAAACATAGCTCAAGGTATAAATGAGATGTTTAATAAAAAACACTCATCATTAAGTGTTATTATTGAAAAGACATTCAGTATTTGGAAAAAATGATTAATTTATGTGATATGCCCACCTATCATTTAACTAAATATGTGAAGATTATAGTCGCTACGATGGCTCTCTAAAACAACATTCATCAGCATCCTTTGCGTAGTGATATTGATTTCAATAGTGCATATTAAGACCGATCACATGCCCCCGCTGAGGCATACGAATATTGCCTAAGCCATTTAATATCACAAGTAGGGTTGTAAACGAACATCACAAGTAGGGATGTAAACGAACCGAGCTCGAGCGAGCTCAGACCTGGAGCATGTTCAGCTCGTTTGAAATTGCTCATGTTAGAAATCGCTTGTGAATAGTGTGTTTATGTCCGGCTCGAATTAAATATTCTTGTTTGTGTTTGACTCATGTTCGACTCAAAATCAGCTCGTTAAAATTAATTGAAAAAAAAAGATGTAGAGTGTTGGATTCGAGCTTAAACCAAATCTATTCAAAAGAAGGCACAATCATATTACCACATGAGTTTGTTATGATGTAAACTTAGATGTAAATATATATAATATATTATTATAAAAATAATATATATAATATATTATTATATAAGTATATGATTTTTTTTTATTTCAAACTAAAATGAACTGGACACGAGCGAATACAGAGTTGTTAGTGTTCAACTCGTTTATAATTTGAGCTTAAAAATATTGTTTGTGATCGCTCGTTTACTTAATGAACGAGTCAATCACGAGTTGTTTGCGAACAACAAGCTTTTTTCAACAAGCTTTTTTGACAACCCTAATCACAAACTAAATCAAATTTACATAAGACAACCCTGATCACAAACTAAATCAAATTTACATAACTTTTGTACACAATATTGGGAAGGTGTTAGGGAGATGATGGAATTAGGAGTAAATTACAAGTGCAATAGTTAATGGGTGAAAAGATTTTGTGAGCTACATGTTCTTTATCTTTGTATTATGATGAAAAAAGCAGCTATTGCTTATTGTAATGATAATATATGCAATGACGATCATGTGAAATTTCAATTCGGTGCAAATAACTTCTTTCTTCTCCACATTACTGGCCTCTAGGCAACTGTGGGTTCACATAGTATTTTTTTCTTACTTGTCATTTATTTTGTTGAGGTCTATGATGACATAAATGACTTTACGGATTCTTCTAAACGGCCTTTGTGGTGATATGTTTTTATGACAAATACGAGTCTGGTATAATATAAAGGCAACCAAAGAACCTCATATTTTCCAATCAAATGACTGTTGATTTTTTTTGGATGGCCTTCGTGGTGAAATGCTTTTGGGACATACGAGTTCGGTATTACGTGGTTTAAAGACAACCAGGAATCCCTTATTTTTCATTCAAATGACTATTGAGGCTTTTCTAGATGGCCTTTGCGGTGATATGTTTCTGTGATACAGACGAGCAAGTATTACGTGGTTTAAAGGTAACCTAAAACACTTTTTTTATGTCCTATTATCTCCTTGTAGTGAGATTTTTAGTTGGTTTATATTTTGTGCTCTGGGACCCCACAACTTTATAAAACTTTGCTTATGTATTTATATTTTTTTTTACTAATGTGGCATCTAACAAATTGTGCTTTGTGGTTTTAAACCTTTAGAAAAAATGAGCTCGAAGTTTTCCGATTCATTTAAAGTATTGTGTTATTGTGGATGATTTTTTTAGGTGGGCGGATCAGTTCGATAATTCCATCTCCAATAGTGATGAGGCATGGAGTGTTTTGTCAGAGCAGAGATTCTCGTAAAATTAATAGTCTGCATTTTAAATTCAACATTGTGATAATCCTAATAGCTATTTTAATAATTTTATTTTTAATTTTGATTGTTTTCTTACTATTTAATGAGGTGTCAGTTTTATTATGTAATATTCAAACCGAATATCTATTTCCATGCATGAAATGTGCAACCAGCACTGATTTTGTAATAAACAGTAAATTAGTACAAAGGCGAAATTGTCTTTTTATCATAAATGGTTTCAGTACAACTGTTGCACAACTGCACAAAACAAAAAGAGAAGAAACTTCCCCGCAACAGCTTCTGTGCAGCAACAGTCCCTTAGAGAATAGAAACTTGATTGAATGTTCTGTCTTGGTTACTCCTTATGAGTTGCTATACTAGTTTTTGTCATCCTCTGTTGACCATTTCTAAAAGCAGATCCCTCCTTAAAATTCGTCTGACTTGCATCTTTCTCTAAGTTAGCATTTGATGTGGATCTCTAGGCATAATGAGAGCAATTCCACATCTAATGTCCAAAACATTCACCACAATATTGTTTCCCACACTTAACACGTGATTCTAAAATGTTGTTGCTAGCCTAACTAATCACTCCATCAACGCAGGACTTTATCTTCTTCCCAATAGACTTTCCAGAATAAATTGTTGGTGTCACACCTTCCAAGCTCTTCCTCTTCTGCATTTCTCTATAATTCTAAGTTTGTTGGAAATCAATTTCTACACTCCTGATTCTCTATAATTCTAAGTTTGTTGGAAATCAATTTCCACACTCCTGACCCTCTCCACTAGCACTGAATAGCCTTCAATCCCAAGTGACCTTGGTGATCTCCACTAGCACTGAATAGTCTTCAATCCCAAGTGACCTTGGTGGATTGTCTAATTAAATTAGACAATTTAGAACAAAATTAATGGAATTTCTACTCTACATTTGGAAAGTGTTGTGGTGTATATCTTAACAGCATAAGAAACTTCGCTTTGTATAGCATAATTGATCGATCTCTCTGCACCAACCTAATAAATTTATCATGCATCTATCTACTGGCTGACAGTCTTCAAAAAGTTCTCGTAAACTCGTCCCACTGTACCAAGGGGCTAGGTCGACCGCCAAATTTCTCCTACAGTTGTCATCGCCACAATCTCTTTGTTTCTCCCTCTAATGCAAAAGTGCTCAATGTAAACCTCCTTTATAAAGGACAAGGCAAACCATATAAATTTTTTTTCCACTCTTAGCAATCAATTCTCAGCATCCATTGGATTTCCTCCTTCAAAAAAGAGAGGTGACATCATATCCTTAAATAGTTTCATACTTGTCCATTTAGCCTCCCACACTAGAATTAGTCTGAGTCTAAATTCGAAATCATATAAGTTATATAGTCATCATCTCAATAAAAGTATTTGCATTCACAGTAATATGTGGAGGTGCATCAATTTCTATCACATCATCCTTATTCCCCTTAATTTTTCATAAGGGTTAAATAACATAAAAAAATTATAATTAGATACATTTTAACCCTTCATTTATATTTCTTATTAATTAATTTAATCAGCCTACTAACTCTTGTTTATCGTGATCAAACCTAATTTCTTTGATACCACTTTTGTATTTATTATAATATTAATTTTAAATTATATTAATCATTAGCAAAAATCAAGATTTAAAATAAATTGATTGTAAGATGCGCAAACAGAAATATTTAAATTTAAACAAGATTGATGTGAGTAATTACATTTCTAAATTTCAATAATTTTCAAAATTTCTAAATGCATATTTTTTTATTTCACTTATGCTCTGTTCAAATGAGATTTAAATTATAACATATTCTTCATATTGTATGTTATTGATATATGTATAAGTATATCTATTGCATAATGCAATGTATTATAATATTTACATCATGATACAAAAATATGAATTAGACTGACTATTTTAATTGTTTTATTGTGCATGCTTGGCTATGATGGAGTTTACCCTTCTATGATACTAGCGAGAAAACACTAAGATACTCGTGCTCGTAAATGAAAAAAAAATATTGATATTAAAATATCTTAAATGGTATAATTTTAAACGGTCCTTTCGTAGCGGTTATACATATATAAAATGATATAAGCATACAAATTTAGTAAAACACACTGAATCTTATGAACAATCATATGTGAAAAAGTAAATTATTCACTATTTCTATATTGAATTATAGTCTTTCTGGCTAGCATTCATATCATTCTCTTTTCGTTATGTTGTAGTAGTTTAGAAACAGATGTACATTCTCACTTTTGTAGCTCGTGATTTTTTTAAATTAATATAACAGGTTTAATCATTTCATTAAAAGATAGAGTATAAGATAAAATGTTTATAGAAGACACGACAATCAAAAATGAGTTAAATTTACCTGTATTACTTTAATTTATTTTGGATAGCGGCTCTTTTTTTATTAAATATTAATTATAGAAAATGAGTATAAAAACATTTAATTTTCACTATCCGACCGTCTGATCCCATCTTTATTAGCTTCAAATGTTGAGCCGGGTCATGACATCATGTTCAAAAGATGTGATTACTATAAATACATCAAAATATTATGACTAAAATTAGAAGCATAAATATGAGAATAATTTTATATTTATGAAATTCGTTCAAAACAAACTATTGACTAGAAAAATCTGAAAAAAATACATCAAGACAGATGACAATGGACCTGAGAACATCAAAAGCAAAAAACACTCTTCGACTTTGAGGTCGTGCAATTTTTAATATAAAATTCTTAGGTGAACGATAAACAATAAAAATAGGTAATAAAGAGGATAAAGACGTTATAGGAAATAATCTTACACAATCTCTTCCAAGTGCTGCATAATGCTGCAAACCATTGCATGAACCATCCTACACCAATGAATGAAATGTCATATTGCTATGGAAGAATTTGAAGCTATCACAATGAAACATGATAAAACCTATCACATAAATGCATAATTAGCATTACGCTTGAATTGAATGTTGATAAAGAATTTTTAATTGTCACTTAGAATCGCTACCTCGCAAATGTATTGCATACACATTTCAGAACTTTCTGGAAGATAAAAAGCCTCTTAAAGTTTAAAACCTTCCAATTACCTGATGAATAGGAAGATATGAGATGACACTGTGCGGTGATGAACTAGTTAAGGCATCAGAGAGATTTATGCATGCAGCCAAACACTGAAAAGGATCTTCAGCATTTATCCACCATCGCTTTCCATCAACAGGATTCATAGCAGAATCAAATATATTATGTAAATGGTTCTCCACAAATGTCAGGCGAGCATCATAAGAGAGCTTTTCAACGCCTCCGCCAAAGATGTTTGCCAAATGAATTTTTAACCAGTATAACCCAGACTTGCCAAGTGGTCTACCTTCGGCAAACTCGAGAATTCCACGGCATAGATCTGAACTTAAATGATTTAAATGTGAATGCATTGGGTATGCACGGCCACGGAAATCAAGATTATGAGGATAGTAAAATCCTTCTTCATCTCGCATCTTGCGAGCAACCTATTTCAGAATTTATTTTGTTGGATTCAGTGAAGATAAAATCAAAGCCTAAAAATAGAATATATATAAATTACTTCAAAGATGAAAACAAGATAAGGTTTATACAGCTCATCTTGCTCCCCAAACGCTAAGAGGACCAACTTACAGAAAGCTTAAGTTCTGTGTCACATCGCTGAGCATGCATCTCATTGTTAGCCTTTCTTGCTTTTCTGGCATTCCAACGCCATTTTTTAATCTCCATGGAATCCTCCAACCCAGGTTTCTCCGGTATGGGAACCTACAAAAGAACAAGATATGCTGAAAAATTAACTAGCCTGTTTAATATACAGGAGAGAAGTTTAACCATAGTTATCAGGCGAGACTAATCTTATTAACTTGATATCACTTAAAGCATCATCGTACAGACAGTTAATTATATTAGGACATCTTTTAACAATCTTTTGGTCTCTTACTGACATGAACCATCAAAATCTGTTTACAAGCATTAAATCGAAAACATCAAAGATGCTTTCTTCTAGTCATGAAACATTAAAAAAGGCTGGTCCGGGACAATGCTTGATATTCGCGTCAAGGATTAAGATTGAGGAATTGAGTGTTAACAAGAAATAAGCCTCCACAAATTTTGAAGAGTAAGCCTCAAAATTAACAAATTGTACAAAAACATCTAGTACTAAATTAAGAGTAATACATTAACATCCTAATCTATTAATACATTAAAAAGTATTATATTAAAATCCTACTGGAGTAAAGGTAATAAATTATTGAAAGTAAAATAATATAACAATATCAAATCATAAAATAAAAAAAGTGATACAAACATTTGAGATCCTAAAATAATAATTCAAAATTAGTTCAATACAATTAATCACTCTTCCACTGACACTGATCTAGGGTCCCTAGATGGTGTAGATAGATCGACATGGGGATTTGAAAGTGTGAGAAGTGAGAAACTGAAACTGGGAAGTGCACAACTGCTGTTTCTGGTGAAAACAGCAAGGAAATGTTGTCCAGTAATAATAGTGGGAAGGTACGAACTCCATGTAGAATACATCACATATTCCCAATCAAGTTACAAATACACTAAATGAGAAGGGAAAGGATACAACACTACTTGGAGAAACTAGAATCAATCTCCAAATTATCACAAAACTAAGCAGAAGCTCTCTTACAGATCCCCTAATATATGGACTGGAAATTGGAATGGAGACCAGTTCGGTCCTCCCAATTCCATCAAGAGTGGATGTTGTGTCTGCCATCTGCCTAGGGCGAAAAACACGCTCCATGCCATTCTCCCTGGGTGAGGGAGACTTCTTCATCACCAGTAGCATCCGGATCCACATGATATGGTGTCAAATCAGCAACAATAAAGGCATCATAAATATTATAATCTTTTATCAAATCAATTTTATAGGCATTGTCATTATTCTTCATGATAACCCTGAAAAATTCGTCAACTCTAAGTTTAAGCTTTTCAAATAAAACCTACTGAAAATGTCTCCTTCTTCAATCTAATTCATATCAAGTCACCTTCCTTGAAGACCTGGGTTCTCCTGAACTTATTGGTCTTTTCTTTTATATTTAGCATTTTACATACAATTTTCTCCCGCACCTACCTATGTAAAGTCTAAATCTCTTTAGCATCTGCAATGCTAATTTCAGCTGAAAGAAAAAATACTAACTCTAAAAAAGTGAAATGGTTTTGCCCAAATACAATCTCAAAGGAATTATGGTCTAACGACTAGCTAGTGAACCTGGCGTAGAGGAACTTGTAGGAATTACTTGGGAAGAAATTTTGATCTATTCATTATTCACAAATAGGCTTACATATTGATACGCCACCAACAAATTTTCATTATCTGACACGAATCTCGAGATAATATTTTGAGCAAGAAATATTAAAATCTTGATAAAAAATCATCCAGAGCTTCGATTTCAGCAAACTTATAGTCAAACTAATCGACTCGATGAGAGGGGCCTAATGATATCAAAGTTAGTCCAATCCGAGTCAGATAAAGCCCAAAGATCAAATCATTAAACCACTCTTGGAGGATTTCTAGACACATTTGGAAGATCAAACGGATGTCAAATTTAGCGAGTTTATAGCCGAATCGAACGTCTCGACAAGTCGAATCCAACGAGCCCAAGATTGCTCAATTTCGACATCGTTAAGACACTCAAATGTCCATCAAACATCATCTGATTGAGGGAAGCTCTTCGGACCGTCCAATCAAGATGTTTCATATTACAACATTAATTATATCCAGAACAGTATAAATAAAGCTCCACCTTTAACATTAGAGAGGAGGCTTGAGAGAGAATTTGAGAAGGAGCTCAAGTCCAACATCTTTCCTGTCATCGAAGTGTCGTCGTCGACCACCGTCGATCATCACTGACCTCTGTCGACCACAGCTGATCATCATCGACTGTCGTCGACCACCGCTGACCAGACGCTGTCAGTCGACATTGTAACTTGAAAAATCTAGTAACAATTTCTCGTCTGTAGAACAAGGGTCCTCTGTAATCATCAACTTATAGTGGCTTTTTATAATTGGGTCAGGCCCCGTGGTTTTTTCCTTTTACGAGTTTTCCACGTAAAAAACTTTTGATGTCATCACAGGTTGTTTCTCTTTCATCTGATTGTGTGTTGAATCAACATGCAACGCTAAGACGATAATTCATTACTCTACCGCCGCGAATTTTCTAGTACGCAACAGTCTGGCGCCTTCTGTGGGAAAAGATTCAATCCCACAACTGAAGTACTTACGCGGTTTGCTACATGGCCACTAGAGCTGTCAAAACGGCTCGTTCGCAAACAGCTCGTGTTCGAGTCGTTAAAAAGCTCGTGTTCGGCTCGTTAATTTTGTTTGATAAGTTAACGTTTTGGCTCGAAATACTAATCATCAATTCTCTCTCTCTCTCTCTCTCTCTCTCTTTCGTTTTGGCTCGAAATACTAACCTTCTTAACGAGTCGTTTTGATAGCCCTATATATATATATATATATATATATATATATAACTACAATGCTACAAATATTTATAATCAATTAATAATTAAGAAAATAGAATAAAAATTATTAAATTAGATTCAAATGATGTTTTAATATAAACAATAATTTTTAAATCTTATCACAACCCTTAACATCTATGATGACGTGATTAAGGTTGTCAAAAAACTTTTTATTCGTGAACAGCTCGTGTATGGTTCACTAAGCAAACGAGTCGAATATGAACATACTTTTTGAGCTCGAAATATAAACGTGTTCGGCTCGTTTACACCTACGAGAGCTGAGCTCGTGTTCGGCTCGTTTACACCCCTAATGGCCACCAGACGCAATATTCATGACAACGGAGCATCTCGCTCCAACACCCATTCTTCCAGGGAGCAGTCACGGAGTTAAGGTCGGCATGCTTCTTCATCTTCCCGCCTTGGAAGACGTTATCCCGCCTAAGAAGGCGTTTCGGGTCCCTTCTATAGAAGATCGAATGCACAGAATTGATGAATCTCAACTAGAGATCCTACATCTCTTACGCACGACTCAACAGCCACCGCCAACACCAATGAACAAAATTTGTTTACCATTAAATCCATGACCTACAAGAAACATAATGTTTGCAAGAACTCGTACCGGCCCCCTCCCCAAGAGAGAACACTTCCCCTGCCAGGTCGTAATGTTGAACTCCTGGACAACGCAGGTTCCACTCATCCATCTCACCTGGCACCGCCACATCTTGCTACCATTCTAGTAATGTTATTCTAGAGAAAAATTATTGCTTCCACACTCACCATAACATTCATGAATCTTCTCCCTCAGCGAATGTAATCCTCCAACACCCCATCCCAATATGTTTCAAGCTTCCGAACGTCAACACGTATGAAGGGATAACAGACCCCTACGAATATATTGATCATTATCGAACTATCACGCACATTCAACATGCCTTTGAAGCACTTATGTGTCAGGTTTTCCCGGCTACTCTCGAAAGACAAGCTTGAATCTGGTTTTACTATCTGTCAGGGGGCACTGTAAACACCTTTAATGAGCTTCTCAGACTCTTTGTGGAACAGTTCTTAGCAAACCGACAGATCATCAAGGATTCATCCATCTCAAGGGAATTCGTCAAAGCGAACGAGAACCACTGAAGTACTACTTCTGCAGGTTTTCTATTGAAGCTAGACAGGTTTCGGAAGTAAATCCGGAGTTACTAAGAGGAGTATTTTTTTAGGGGCTCTCCCAGGACCCTTCTACTCATCATTGATGCGGGAGATAGTTCGTTCTTATGCTGACCTTGTTCACCGTGTTGAGGCATAAATCTCTGCAGATGAGACCATCATTGCTCGCAAAGAACAATTTGAGTGATTGGGGGGTAAGTGCAAGAATCATGTTGGGGATACCAATCAAATCTCACAGCAAAAAAAGTTTAGACCACAGGGGAATCGTGAGCACGATCAGAAAAAGTATACACGCCACTCAACACGTCACGTGTCAAAATCTTAATGGCAATCAACGATGAAGAAATTATTAAGTGGTCAAAGCTGTTAAGAAATCCAACAATCAACGATGAAGAAATTATTAAGTGGTCAAAGCAGTTAAGAAATCCAGATGGTGAAGACCAGTCTCAATATTGTCATTTCAACCGTGCAAAAAGACATTCAACGGAAAGATGTTTTCAATTAAATGAGGAAATTAAACATCTAATGCGCCAAGGTAACATGGGTCGCTACTTACAAGAACAATGTGAGGGAAACCAGAAGAGAATTGTTGGAGTTATCGAATGAGAAGTATAACTCCAACTCATCTTATCTGAGTAAAAGACGATTGGCTTATAAACTTTTAATTTTATTTAGCAAAATTTTCATGTTGCTTTTAAATTTTATTTCATTGAAAATTTCTTAATTTCTCATGAAAGATTTTTGTGTATAAAGCCCCCTTAAGGATGAGAAATTATCATTCCCCTAAAAGTCCAAGAGGCAGGAAGATACGGTACACCTAAAAGTTAAGCCCAAGAGGCAAGACTCAATGAGAAGCTACCATGCCCCTGGAAGACGAGCCCAAGAGACAAGTCTCGATGGGAAGCTAGTAGTGGACAAGGTCCTCACTAGAAAGACTCCATGAAAGTAAGTGATTGACAATGTCTCCACTCAAAGACCTCGGAAAGCTATAAGCCTCAGAAGACACAACAACATCAAAGACCTCAGAAGGCTATAAGCCTCAAAAGACAGATACACTCAAAGACCTCAAAAGACTACAAGCCTCAAGAAGCAAAGGCACATCAAAG